TTTCCCTACTTAATGCAAATGGTAACTGTACTCTGACCCTATCAATCCTTGATATCTAAGCCAAATTCTCATTTGTGAAATGTTTGTTCTTGGTACCTGTGCAGAATCTCAAAGTGCACCATTTGGTTTTCAAATCCTAGATATAAATTTTAGAATCAAATATTTTAGGATTGGTGGGGAGTATCCTTTTTCTTGCAACTCAAGATGATTTTGATCTCTGGTCTTTAAGGAAAAAAAGGTGGCATCTCTATAGACTCTTATGGAAACAGAACCGTATCTTATGTATTAATGTGATTTCTATGTTTCTGTACTAAAACATGTTTTTGAAAATCTTGTTGCAATTAAGCAGTGCCATTGTCTTGCAACATTTCTGCAAAAGTTTTAGCTATGCTTTATATATAGTTTAGACTTGACTAAGTAGCTATTTCCTGTAATGAATGACAAAGCTATTAAAAGCTCAGCTCTTGTTGTACTCCATGGGTTGCTAACAAGAAAATCTGTGATCGTATGTGTGAAATGTTGAGTTGTTTGAGTTCGGGTTAGGTGTCCTCATGAGCTAATATTTCCATGCATTCTTTACAATATCACCAGGATAATAACCTTTCCATTGGCAGAGAAAAAGCAATTTGAACTAATTCATTTGGATAAGCAAAATGATCAAATTTATATCAATCACCATTTTTCTTTAGGAAGAAATCTCTCCTCCTGTTCATAAGTACCCATCTTTGAAGCATAAACACTTTCCAGACTAATGAGATGATCCCAGAAAGGCTGTAAGAGGACTTCAGCATCTTCCAGGTAATAAAACTTCAGGGAAGAGCCAGCCAAAGGCTGAAAGGAGTAAGGACACTGACGGGAACTATTAAAGAATTTTCTGCAGTGTTACACACAGTTTGTTCCCTTAGGATGAGTGGCTGTTGTATCCTGGCTTCTCTCTGCCACACAACCTCTCCAGCTCGCCCTTATGCTTCATTATGCTGTTTTTCTTCACTGCTAACATTTTCACCTCTTTATTTAAATGTCTTCTGTCTCTCTCTGATTTATATGCAGCTGTATTCTTCACAAGCCTACTTATGCCACGCACAAAACACACCCTAAAAATAAGAGCAGAACAAGACTGTATCCCTTCAGCCCATCTTTATTGCTTTATCTTGTTCACAGTCCTCACACTCTGTCCATCTTGTCTACCCAGACTGAAGCCTCTTTGAGACTTTGGGCTAACTGGTGCAGAGTCCTCCTCAAGGATACTTTTGACAGTTGGTCTTTGGGCATTTCCATGCTATATGCAATTGGTATCTACTTTAGTGAGCAGGTTTGGACACGAATTAATATCTTGACTTCCATGAAAAAGACACCAGTCAAGGTGTCCCAGAACAATGCACTTGGAGGCATCTAGCACAGGTCCATTTGTTTTCCCAGGGCATCGACAGGATTTTGATGCATGCACATGCTTCCTACATCCTTTGTCCTTTGCCTCATCAATCATATGGCTGCATTTTCAAATATTTGAAACTCTTCTGTTTTTTTTCCCCGGGGTACACATATTGTGGGTGAACGCGGACCTCAATGACATAAATGTTTTGCCACTCCTTTTAGCAGGGACAGGATTTCACGCAGTACTTTCAACGTGTTATGATCTCTGCTGTAAAGAAACCACAGCCAGTTCAAAGCTTTTTGTGTGTGTTTTTTACTCAAAGTAAGGAAAGGAATGTTTGCAAACAAGCTCTAATTAGAAAGCAATGAGGGGTAACAGCTGCATATTGCCTGTGATAAGTTTGTGTTTCATTAAGCAACAAAACTGCCAGAAAGCTTAGAATTATAAGCCATAAACCTAAAAACAGCTTAATCACTTCCAAATGTATTTTAGCTTGCAATTTGATAATTTATACAGATTTATATCCATTCAACATATTTGAGAGAATGAAATAAAATATGGTGAGTTGTATTGCTTTTTTATTTTATTCCTAGATCAACCTTAATTATTTGATCAAAAAATCAGTGTTAATTTTCAGTCATTTAATCAAATGCCCAGAACCTTAATCTTTTGACAAATGCCTGAAAAAAATTGACTAAATTATTCAAAGCTGCAGCTATTTTTCCAAATTATTAATCTGACAGACTGAATATGTGATTTCTCCATACTGACATATTCTTCTTCTCTTTCACTTTATCTTCTGAATTATCATAGACTGACCATGGGTTATTTTAGATGCTTCCTGTCCCTGATAGAATAAACTATTTAACCAAGCAGAATTTCTGAAATAGTTCACAATCAGATATACTTTCTTAGATGATTTAATTAAAATCAGATAGTTACTGCTCAGCACCCAATCCTATGTTCTATTTGCCCCCTGTGCTGTATCATGGATCCTCTTCACTGTGCCAGGGGTTGACCTATAACGTAATAGACTATGAATGCTGGCTGGGTGCTGGGTAAGTATCTCATCCTGCCTGTCAAGTAGCTGCAAGGGGGACTGAGAGGAAGGTCAGCTACACATGGTTGTTTACAGTAGGAAACAGCCCCCAAAGCTGTGGCACATGAGATATTCCCTCATGTGCATTCTGTGAGGCCAGTTGGGCCAGAATTGGGCAACAGTATCTTCAGTTCTGGCTTTAGTGGCTTTTTCTGTTTTATAAAATGAAAAATGTTTTTTCTTTTTATAAAGCATTGGTAGTAAACAAATAAGTCTGTTTTCTACAACCAACATAGAGGGAAAGGATTTTTTTTTTGTCTATTGCCTAAGCTATGTGCCTGAAAGAGGACTTACGAACCCCTGGCTGTGCCCATTGAAACCCACCCAGAGTCACCAGCAGTGTTTGGCTAGGCAGATGAATACTGCCCGGGATGGCTAAGCTGGAATCAAGCACCATGAGGAAGGAAAAACCCAACCCAGCTGGTGGAATAACAAGCTGTTCTGAAAACCACTGTCCCAAATATGAATATCAAAACTAGTAACCATTACCGTGACCCTGACTTTAGTAGCTGGGTGCCAAACAAACACGAGCTTGGGTGGTGTTTGGGAGGGAAAGAGGCCTGGAAGAGAAACACTTATCCCATTAGCGCTGAGTCTACTTCTTGTGTTATCTTACCACTAGCTGTGCTCCTACCTCATGCAGATACTCTCAATATTTCTGCATAATGAAGCCGAGACCACCCGATAAGATCAACACCATTGTTCCTACGACAAAATACACAAATAGACTTTGTTCAACAATTCAGGGTGTGCAGTCCCTGTCAGATCACACTGTGGCATTGCCTGGCTGATTGCTGCTGCAGCAGGGTCTCATTTCACACCTCCACAAACTAATTTACAGAGCAGCAAGTTAACTCAAACCACCCGTTGCCACACCCGGAGGAGTACAAACACCACTCCCCTCTGGCTACAGAGGTGATAACTTCTGAAGTTGGCGTACCTTGAATCATGAGCACCATGGCCCCCTATATCACACTTTTAAGCACATTCATCTTCTCATGTACTCATGTTTTAGTGTAGAGGCATCCCCAAGAAAACTTGCAGTTAGAACCCATCCCTTTGAAATATTGCAGGAAGAAAAGGAACTACACAGCAGTATCAGCAAGTTTATCTTCTGTGCCTGTGCCTAATCTTTAGTGCTGCAAGTACAGTTCCTGCCTCCACATTATTCTTTTCATTATGATGTGGATTGTACATAGTAGGAATTCATTGACAAGGTCTGGCTGGACCACCTTGAAAGATGGGGCCTCTCACAATCCCCAGTGAAAGGAAGCAGGGCACGTTTCCCCACGGTGCTCCATCAGCATGCCTGAAGCCTCAGTTCAGAGAATAATTGTGTGCTCGGTGTGACCATTTGTTACTTGAACTCTGCTAAGACCAGTGCTAGGACAGGACTGTGGCTTTTGGCACGGGATGCGCATGCCCTAGAGTTCAATCAATGAAAGCCACATCGCTGTCAGTGTGGTCCACTGACATTTGAAAATGTCAGGGGTTTTGCAAACACGCTAGTCCAGAGCTCTCCTTCTTTTCATGCAGCTGCTTTTATCTGATACCAAGGGGGCTGAAAAGATGTGTGATGTGGCTTTGGTTATGACCACTTGAGATAGGGATGTTCCAAGAAACCTGGACACTACGTCCTCATAGGTAACATCCTCTGCATGGTTTCAAGATAACCTAAACCAACAACCATGTGCCATGTATTCATTTAAATGGAAGTGGTTAACTAAATACTCATTACTAGTATTTTTTTATGACAGCAGTGATTAAGAGTGATTAAAATAATTTTTTTTTCATTTACTGATGTTGTCACTGTTTTAATTATTGCTTATCTTAATTTTCTATGTGGCTGCAGAGAGGTTTGATATTTTGTCAAAACAAGGGTTTTGTGAGAGTGTGTTAATAGGGCAAAGTTTCTTGCTTTTTACAAACAAACATATGTAAGAATGAATCCTGTGAAACTCCATTGTTTATACATTGAATCTAATCTGTGCTTTTGGAAGTAGCTAAGATCTGTAAGTTTCTGTTCTATTTTTCATTAAAATAAGGACTTTTTTGCTCATCTTTCTGTGGTTTCCTCTTTGTCATGACAAGGATGTGGGTCTTGGTACAGCTTTTAGACCTGATGACTTTTTGTGAAATTAGTGGCTGACTTTCAATGCACGTTTCACAGCTGATTTCAACGGCTTTGAAACAACCTGTGCCACCTTGAATTGAATTGCAGTTAAATTTAACCTACTTGCAATCTGCTAGATATTGATTATTAAATATTATTAGTCAGTCCAAAAAGAGCTTCATCAGATGATTATGGGGTTATAAACATACTGGGGTGGAGGTGTCTGAACCATCTGCTAGATCATTAATGAGATGAGGAGAAATTTTGGAAACTAGTAAATCATAAATAAAGGTGTAACAGACATATTAAAAAGACTTGCTGTAATTTTTCTGACTATGGTGAACTGACCTATTCTGACTTCGAAAGAGTCTTCTGAGTTTATCCTTATTTCTCTTTGGCAAGTATTCAAGAAAATTATCTTGAAAATCTGATGGCTTTGTTTTTAATTCTGTTTTCTAAATGTTTGTTCCTGATGCCACATTGAGTTGCCCAAAAGGAAGGTTACTTTTACAGCTTGCTAGATGGCGGGAGGTTCTGTAGTCAGAAGATAAAACAAAGACTTTGACTAGGAACTGTGGAGGCAATCTATGCTCCAAACATATCACTGCACTTTCAGGAAACAACAGTTGTTGACAATAGATAATGCCACCCTCTGTACTGAGAACTAGAAGTTTGTTTAAAAAAAAGATTCCCATATTGAATATAGAGTGCATTAGATGTACAGCCAAAGCAAGTACAAAACATCAGTCACTAATGCCCAGTACAAGGGCAAAACGAACTAAGGACTAAAGCTAACTGACATCTGCATCCCTTTGTGATGTGTGAATATGTGAGAACGTGACATATGTCTGATGTGTGAATGTGTGCATTGCCAGCCCCCTCTATTGGATAGAGAGCTGTCAGCCATATGTCAGCACTGCACACTCTACGTCAGCTCCATACATCGCATGTCAGTGCCATATGTCATGTCCTTGCATGGCCTGGTCAACCTTAGGGGCTGCTCTCTATGCCCAAATATGACTATGTGACAGGCAACAAGCAAGTCATAGTTCTCCGCAATAATCCTTAAGAAATATCACTTACCTGGAAGACCTCAGTAAAAACAGAGATATATGCAAATGCCTGACAGAGAATTCAACTCAGCAGAGGCCAAGCTGCAAAGTGCAAGCGTAGATAGGAGCCCAGCCCTGGCCAAAGGCAGAAGGATTCCTGGGGCAGGGCTCCTTTAATCCACTCAGAAATTTCCAGTAAAGATAAAAACAGTATGGGAGAGCTGGTCCGGTACAAGAAGCCAGTATTTGGAAACTGGGAGGTAATGTGCAAGGGGACACCTCACAGGCATCTAGAGACTAGTGTTGAAGCATGATAGGTTAAAAGAGACAAGACTACATTTCTCTTAGTGAAGGAAAGAGGAATTGCAAATGCTGTGCTGGAAACAACTGGAATCTATAGTAAACTCTGCCACAAGCTGCTGAATATGAGCTCCTCACAGTCTAGTAAGAATGCATTTCTAGCTTAGTTTTCATAAAATCATAGAATCATTAAGGTTGGAAAATACCTCTGAGATCGTCGAGTCCAACCATTAACCTAACTTCCAGGTCCACCTCTACACCATGTCCCTAAGCACCACATCCACACATTTTTTGAACACTTCCAGGGACTGTGATTGCACCGCTTCCCTGAGCAGTCTGTTCCAACGCCTAACCACTCTCTTAATGAAGAAATTTTTCCTAATATCCAACCTAAACCTCCCCTGGCACAACTTGAGGCCATTTCCTTTCGTCCTGTTGCTTGCTACCTGGGAGAAGAGGCTGACCCCCACCTCGCTACTACCTCCTTTCAGGTAGTTGTAGACAGCGATCAGGTCTCCCCTCAGCCTCCTTTTCTCCAGGCTAAACAACCCCAGCTCCCTCAGCCACTACTCATAAGACTTGTGCTCTAGACCCTTTACCAGCTTTGTGGGTATCTGCTGTAAAACTGTAACGTACCTGGTGCCACTCTCTGTGGCTTTCCTGTTTTCAGCTCAGTTCTGAGAACCAGCCCAGCAGTGGTTTCAGCAGTGAGTGACACCAGTGGTCACCTTGTTTAGCCAACACTCACCATTTCCTGGACCTTGCCTACCCCCGGCAGCAGAACCAGTCATCCTTCCACCGTGTGCTTTCACAGGTGTGAGTAAAATGCAAAATTGCAGGGCGTTTCGCAGCCCCGCTGCAAAACTCCTACCACGCTCCCTGGCCCAGACTGCCCCTCACCCAGAGGGGTGGATGAGCAGGCACTCTCTGAAGACATGGGGATTTCAAGGCTAGCAAAGACTTCCGTCCTGTTGCATGTGGAGGGAATAAAGACTCCGCTCGCCTCAGGGTGGACAGAAAATGGGTCAAGGTTACTGCTCGGCTCGCTGCTCCTGCACCTCCCTGGGGACAGGCCACAGCCAGGCCGGGACGTGGGCCTGTGGGTAGGCCCAGCTCAGCAGGACCCATGGCAGGGCCGGGACGGGCCAAGCTGAGGGGAGCTGGAGACCGTCCTTGCTGCGGTGTTGCTGGGGCAGGGGCTGATGGCCCCTGGAGGTCAACAGGGGACCTGGGCCGTGGGTGGTGGCAGGGGGAGCCCCAGGGGCTGGGCAGGGGCAGTCGGGCCTGATGGTGCCCTGAGGGCCTGGCGGTAATGCCCCTCCACCTGCTACATAGTCCATAAAAGAAAAAAAGATGCTGTAAATGAAATAAACTCATTACAGGAGCTCACACACACAGACAGAAAGCCCAATATCTGAACTAGAATTAATTTGCAGGGTTATGGTTTCCAGACTCTATCACTCATTATTTCCCATCAGTGACTGAGATACAGCCACCATTCACATGAACAGAGCGCGTGAAGTCTTTGCCTCCAAGAGGTTAAACACCAGTTAGTTGTTATTGGGCTGCGAGGTGTGAAAAGTCTCCTGTGGGATGGGCAGAAGGATATCCTTGCTGTCATTTACCTTACAAAGTTTGTAACAGGGACTAATTTATGTTTGCAACATCCTCTGAGACCCCCAGCTGAAAAGCTGGGCCCACTTTGATATCACTTCTCCTTTTTTTTTCCCGAGTTTCTGTCTGTGTTCCAGGCCTGAGCCAATTCTCACCAGCATCTCTTAAGATCTTCCCGTGACCTTCAGTGAGAATTGGATCAAGCCCCCATACACCAAGCCCCCATACACTACATCGGCAGGTTTTATTGCACCATGGCCGACTACCAACCCAGCTTTGCGGTGTCCATTTGCTCCTTTATCTGCACAGCCGTTACGAGACAGCGCTTGTCCTGCTTTGCGCAGTGGCATGGCCGCTGGTCAATAATCAAGGCCAGTATGTTGATGTGTTGGAGTTATTTATTCATGCCTCTGCAACGTCCCAAAGTTTACAGTATTCTGTACATATTAATGCAATAACCAAACAAGCAGAGAAACCCTGCAGGTCGTCACTTCTAAACTGTTCACAAAAAAACACCTCGAGAATATTTGGAAGATAATGGGAATACACCAAGCTAATCACAGGCTTCTTCAGAAACACAGCAGGTCCTTCTGTTAGTAGAAGTCTGTTGAAATCCATAGCAAAATTCCTGTTTGTTTTGACAGATGTTAGATAGGCACTGTGCTCGAGAACTCGAGAACTCGAGAATTTTTTTTTTGATTTGATCACCAAAAAAAAAAAAAAATAGGGAAAATAATCTAGGAAAAAAAGACAAAATTATTTTTTTCTTTCTTATAATGGAAGATCAATTGGAAAAATGTTTATCTCCTTAACACTTTAACTCTTTGGAAACTAATTTGGTTAAATAAATATTTAGTAACAGAGAACTGAAGTATTTCGT